GGAAAGAGATTAAATGACCAGTTCACAATCCCACTTCAGTTTTTCTAATTTGAAAGTCACTGGTGCAATAAAAACTGTTTTCCAAGTGTTCAATTTCTACATACACTGTGTTTGACGATGGCTCTACAGAAGGATTTCTTGGTTGGTGCATGATGCGAAGGATCTACTAGTAACCTCTAAATAGAGGAGTTTGGGAATCTAGTGGCCTTGATGAGTATTAAACTAGATGTGTATCAGTTCAATCCTTGGGCTGTTTTTAATTTGCATTTGCTTGGAGTTTTCAGTGAGGTTGGTATTTGCAAGATGTAGAATGCTTCCTTGCCTCAGAACAGAGCGCCAGAGGAAAAGTTCTCTTGCCTTTGCTCCTGAGCTTCAGGGCTGGAAGGCAAAATAATTAGTTCTACACAACTAGGAATAAGTCACCCAGGTTGAAGCATGGTAGTGCCTGACAACTGGTAATGTTGGAAAAAAAGATTTCAGTAAATCATACTTGATCAGGAAATTGGTATGCAGAACAGATTCTTCCAGTGTACGCATATCTACCCCTACAGTAAGCTTAGTGTTGCTAACTTACCCAGAGATTGTTGTTTTTACCCAGCAAAACAAGTACACATGGCAAGAATAAAGGTTGTTAACAATCTAATAATAGTATATATGATTTATTTTTCCATTTTAGAAGTTTTGCACTGTAGTATATATTTCCTAGGTTTGTAGAAGATTTCAGAGGAAATTTATCATCTTCCAAGTATTTGAAAACTAAATGGTGCTGGTTCAATCCTTGTCCCTTTTTGTTTTCCAGAGGGCGTGGTGATTCCATTGCAATTTATTTCATCTTTTTGGGGAGAGAAAAGAAAGACCATGTTTTGATTCTCTGTTTTATTTCTATCCGTTATTTAAGGATTAGTTCAGAATTACTTTTGGTGGGGGGGTGGGTAGGAAAAAAGGATGGTAAAAAAATACGACGTATATTCTTTTTGAAAAGGATTCTTAAACTACTTACAAGGACATAACAGCAAAATTCTTCATTAATTAACTATATAGGTGAAGTATAGACTATTCTTTGTTTTTTTTCTTCAGATTATAATTTTGGAAAACCTATAGTTTAGCTGTTAGGCATTATAGTACTGCAGGTTTGGGAGAAAAATGAAATAAAGGCAATTATTTTATTGTTGATTGTGATTTCATAAAGGAAATTTTGCATCTGTTTTTATACAAGTGTTTCAACTTGAATATATCAGTCAATCCTGTTCTAGTTTTCTGTAGTTTTAAGGGCTTGTCCTTGTTGGGGACCACCAGTTATCTGACCCTGCTAAAGGCACAATTGGAGGTGGAGTAGGATTTTAGGTAGTGCCTAGCTATTAGTGTAACTTGGACCATTTCAGTGTACCTGCTGTTTCCTGGATGATAACTAAAAACTTCATTCATTACTCCAGACTGAAAAGTATTCATGTGAACTGAAAGAACAGACAAGTTCACCCATTAGATTTTTTTAAAAAATATTTTATTTGCTATGCACGAGGGTGGAGTTGCAATGGGAAGAGTGCAGCGGTCATATATAGTACTGCCATACAGCTGTCATCTTACTCAGGTCACAATAGACAGAGTTACTTAAACATGAAAATGCATGCTGTGTTTGTGCAAGTGCTTGTGCTTTCTTGGCAAGCAGCTTAATATATGCTGAAGCTGAATTATTTATCTGTCTCTTGTGTGCAGTTTGCTCACAGCAGAAAGTCACCCTCCACTGTCCCCTCTTCAGCCAGTGGGAGCCTTTTCAAGAGTGTTTCGCCTCCAGAAGTAAACAGGAGTCTAAGAATAGCTCACCCTTCTTTGTAGTATATTTTCATGGTTGGCTGTCCAAACAGCCAGCCTGTCTAGACAGCTGACGGCACTGAAACTCCTGAGGTCAAAAACAGCCACCACTTAGGCTGCTCCTGGGGAGGTTGCCTCCTCGGGAGCGATATGTGTGGGTGCCAGGAGAACTTTTCAGTCAGAACTAGGAGGGTTCTTTCTGAAGCTCCATGGGCTACAAATGGATGCTACTGAGGCCTTCAATAACAGATATGGGTGTATAAAGAGTGAATTTTCAATACTTAGCTATTTCTGACTCACATGATACATCATGAGTTGTGGTTTTTTGGTGCTCTTTAAAATTTGTTTTGTAGTGTCATTTATACTGTGCCCAAATTTAAATATTAAGAGTAACTTGGAGGCCTAATACTTTTTTTTCTGATAGAAACTAATGACAAAGATAAACCAAAATCAATTTCAGTCCATTCCTTAAAAAAACAGCAACAAAAAACTTACATAGTTCTTCTGCTATCAGAAATAGCAGTAATACATAGATTATATACAAAGCTGAATTGTAAGTTTACATGTGCTTGCATAAGATAATTTTTTTAAAACCGTGTCAAGCATCTTATACCAGGAAACTCCTTCCATGGCCATGGGTTTCAGAGGAACATTAGCAAAGGTTCCCTGAAGTAGGTTGTTCTTCCTCCTAGCTTCCACTTGTAACACTTTATCATTATCTGTGACTAGATTTCCAACCTCCTGCAAAGTCTTTTACATTTATCATTATGGATCTAGATTTTTCTAAAGCTATGTCCCAGGTGTAATTTTAATAGAGACAGCAAAGTAGTATGGCTGTGTCTTAATAGCCAGTTGCTCTGTAATCACAACAGCTCAGTTCTCCCAGGATTGAAGAGTAAAACACAAGGATAGTTGCTGTATTTCCGCTAACCAGTTGTTGCTTACTGCTGTTTGACTGGTGAGGTGAAAAAGCTAGTTAATGCTTTAATTTAGTTTACTAAATACTGGACTAGATAACCTTTGTGGTTGTCTTGTTACATTTCTTCTTATAAATGTCTTTAAAAGAGTATCTTGATACAAGTGTTTTAGAGGTCAGTACCTTATATGCCATGTCATTCGCCAGTTTGCTGATAAAAGAACTCGTCAGCAACAGCAACAAAAAGGAAGCAACTGAGAAATCTTTACCCAGTTTAATCCATTGCTGATAAATTTGCTTTCAACAGATTATCATAATGTTAATGTGTTCTTTCCTTGTGATGTGTGTATATGCATAAAATAGGTTTAGCATTAGGTCTTCTCAGTCTGTCAAAAGATACATTCAGAACTCATCAATTGGTTGAATTCTACACTGTAAGAAAACAAGTCTGATACGTTTTCTATCCAGGATATGTCACTTTGTGTTAGTCTGCCATATAGTAAACCGACATGTATGATGAAAAAGCAACATGCCAGTACAGTAAAGAATGTGGAAATACTTAAAATACTTATTCACAACTTCTTAATTATCAATGCCTTTTTTAGTTTATATCTGCAGTAATGTTTTTCTCAACTTTATTCCTTTCTTATTGTTAATGGTAATCATCCTTCAGTCACACAGTGGCCAACATCATCAGAAATTAGAATCACAGAATCACAGAACGTTAGGGATTGGAAGGGACCTCAAAAGATCATCCAGTCCAATCCCCCTGCCGGAGCAGGAACACCTAGATGAGGTTACACAGGAAGAAGTAATACCCTTTCTGTGTTTATTATTTAAATATTATTTAGACTTTCTTGCTCTGAATTCTTACCTGGCTATTGGAAAGGTTACTGATGCCGCGTTAATATTGGATGATTTTGTTTTCATTGCGTTAGGTTTTCATGTAGGATTATACAAACTAGGCTCCTGCCTACTTCCTTTACTTTAGGAATATTTTTAAGAGTTTAAATTACTCCTAAGATATTTTAGATGTTTTTGCTTGCTGTCTTCTTAAAATTTACTGCTTTTCTTTAAGATTGAAAATCTTCAAGAACAATTGAGAGACAAGGAGAAGCAAATGAGCAGCTTAAAGGATCGAGTGAAATCCTTGCAGGCCGACACCACAAACACGGACACTGCCTTGACCACGCTGGAAGAAGCACTGGCAGAAAAAGTGAGTGCAGAAAGCCTCAGTCCCTTCCTCCTACGAATAACCACTCCAAAGCCGACTTTTTTGTGTGCTGCCCGGACTCTGCGTATGAGACATCCTTGACGCAATGCCAAGTTGACATCCTTTGTCTCTGAGGCCCGGGAAGGGCTGGGGACAGCGCCGTGGCCACCGCAGCACGTCCCTCACTAGAGGGCACTGCAGGACGTGCCGAAGGGCGTCCGTGCAGCTCAGCCCGTTTTTAAAGTTTTGCTCCATAAAATTGAGTTGTAGTTCCCAATATTGAATTAAAATGAATAGTTATGTATTCGGCTGTATTTCAGTCTGAATCTATTTTGCAGCTTTATTGTTCTCATTGTATTTTTTATGCTTGTCCAATTCTCAGGAGAGAGCTGGCTGAGGGAACAGCCTTGTCTGGTCTGGTCTGTTCTGGTGGGCCTGCTTTTTGGAATTACTGTACTTTTTTTTTTGATTCCTGATGAATCAAAGTTACAGCTCCTTTAGTCTGTCAGGTTCTATAAGTTTAAAGCTATAGTAAAGCTTTGCCTGAAGTTGAAGAATTCACTTGTATCCTTCAGCTTCCAAGATAACCAAATCTCCATTGGTACCTGGTGTACAGAAAAGTTGTTTTGTTGCTTTTTCTTACTGCACATCAGTGCACTATACCCCTTCCTCTCTCTGCAGACTTAACTGTACGTTTTGGAAAAATAAGATTTAAATAAGTAATGAAGCAGTGTGCAATGTATCCTGGTCTAGATTAATTTTGATTATTAGAACAGGATGAACTAAGTTGAACTAAGAGGGATTTTCCTCACAGAGTGCTTTCTTTTGTCAGGAAAGGACCATTGAGCGCCTAAAGGAGACACGTGACAGAGATGAACGAGAAAAACAGGAAGAGATTGACAACTACAAAAAAGACATTAAAGACCTGAAAGAGAAAGTCAGCATTTTACAAGGAGATCTCACAGAGAAAGAGGTTGACCGGCAGAATTAATGTCTTGTGTTAGAATTGTTTGTTGTATGTGTATGTGTTATTTTTTAGGTGAGGAAACATGTTCCTTTATAGTAATGGCCCTTCAACAAGTTTATCTAGTAAAATACAACATTTGAGAATTTTTCAATGCATAAATATTTCAGAACCACCTTTTCATGGATAGCGTGCAGTCCCCTTATTTGCAGCAGTTAATCGTATTAGTAGTGGATGACCAGTGGTCTATGATAGCATTTACTGGAGCTATGCTTATGGACAACTGAAGGCAGAGAACAAGCTTGTTCCTGTCTAAATGTGGGGAGGAAAGGCCAAAGGTTGATCAAAGCCGTGGGTGCCAAAAGCATGCAGAGAATGTTTATTCCTTTATGCAAACACTGCAGCTTGTTCATTTGACCCTGAAGAGTCCTTTTTTGATAATTAAGTTGATTGTTGGCTATAAGCCAGCTGGCTGGGCAAATTAACCTGATTATATTAGAGAAGTGTAATTCTCTATTCCTCTCTTGGAATTTAACATTCAAGTTTACCTACAATATTTTTTCAAAACTCAATCAAAGTAAACAATACAAAAATATGCACCCAGGAAGTACTAAGATTTTTGTCTACATAGAAGTCAACATTTGACAGAAAGAAAAAAAACAGCACAAAAACGGAGAAGTTGAGATAGGTAGCATGAATCGGTTTCGCTCTGTAGCGGCTCTATGCAAAAAAGTTTTGAATGTTTTCAGTTTTAGATACAGTGGCCAAATCATCTCACCACATACGATTTTTAAATATGATTTTATGTAAAATGATTTTTTCTTAAACATGACAGTCACAGTTCGCAGAATCTTCCACCTTACAAAAATACTTATCATTAATTTATAAAAGGTTTTATTTTGATCCAGAAAACCTGAATTAAATCAAGCTGTCTCAAGTTGGTGACATGAAGATCTTGACAAAATACAATGTTCTGAGTTAGATCCTGAACATAGTGTGAAGGGATAGGAGGAGAATAAAGACAAAAAAGAAACTAGCTTTTGCACATTAGAAGTGTTTACTTGACAGTTATTTTACATCTTTTATTATAGACATCCTTACTGGATCTGAAGGAACATGCTTCATCCTTAGCTTCATCAGGACTGAAGAAAGATTCAAGACTCAAGACGTTGGAAATTGCATTGGAACAGAAAAAAGAAGAATGTTTGAAGATGGAAACTCAACTGAAGAAGGTAATCTTGCTTCATATTTATATATGTGATGTAAATATATTTAAATAAAATAAATTCATTGTTAGACAATTGGCCATGTCTACATAGAAAGCTTTGGGTCTTAAGTTTTAATTCTGTGAATTGCTTTTCAGCAAGAGGTGTGAAGTTGTGTCCATGAAAATCATATTACAAGCTAAGCCCATCAGAAAGAAACTACTGCTAATAATGCAGTAGCAGTGCTGTTGACTTTTTTTTTTTTTTAACAGGTACTAGGAATTAAAGACTTAGTGTGCTTCAGTCCAGTTCATAGCAGTAATTCTGCCATCAAACTGATGTAGCAGCTTAACATTTCACATATCAGTTGTCAATGCATGTAGGTGTTAATGTGATAAATTCAGCTGCGTGATTGGCCCAGCCCATAGAAATGCATAAAAACAAATGAAAAGAATGTATCACCAGTGAAGTCTGCAATCTTTTGTTTTAATCTCATTGCCGGTCACAGCTGATGTATTGGTAGGAGTTTGCTGTTCTGAAGGTTAATACTCTTTTACAAGCAAGCTAATGAATTTGAACAGAATCTTCGGGTTATGTTTGCATTGTAAGCCTTCTTTAATTTAGCTGTGAGTAGCAGAAATACTGCATTGTTTAGAGGAACATTGATTTGATTTTAACTTTTTGATTTTAAAAGAAGAGGTGATGAAGAAGTACAAAACACACTAACCAAAATAGTGATAAGACTTATATTTGTAAAGTCAGAAAAAGGAAAAAGGCAACACAATTCTTAAAGGAAATATAAGTCTCAGATTGTGGAGTTCTAGCTGTTTCTTTACACCTACCCAGGAAACAAAGGAGTGTCCATGCTGTAGTCTGGAACTCTGTGGTAGTTATGCAAATGAATGTGAGATCAAATTTTGAGTTATCCGGTAAGGCCTGTTTAGGATTTCTCTTGTGTGGGTGCAAGGTGGATGCTAATGCACCTGAGAATGCTGTGTAAGTGAAACTCCATGTAAGTGTATCTAGACCCATGTTTGTCCTTCTTTTTAATGCTATTACACAAAATAAATGGTTTTGTTATTCAGTACAAAGTACAAGTAACAAAGTACAAAAGCAGGAATAGACAGTTTTGCATATTTAATCGTTCTCACAGGCTGTTTTCAGTGTAAGTATTTAGTAAGTCCGGAAGGGACTTTTCATTTGGATTCTCTGTCATGAATTCCTGTTTCACCCTTTGTCAATGTGTTACTGATAATGAGTTGAAGACTATATATTGTAGCTAAGATTTGCCAAAGATTGTTACAGCAATGGGATGATCGTGTTAGTTTGTAGGTAGACAGCTGCAGTGGAGGACATTGTTACAATTACTTTTTTTTTTTTTTTAAAAAAGAAAGTACTAACTGGGAGAGCATTTAACAAATAGGTTATGAAAAACCAGTTGTGGAAATTAAATTATTTAGGGAATGTGTCTGTATATTAAGCATTTGTAAATGTACTGATTTTCACTGCTTCCCCTGTGATCACTTTCGTCACTATAAGCAGTGATTATATCAGTAGTATAAGCAGGTGGGGAGATCTACCAAAATCTGGTGAAACACTGCTAGCTAAAAGATGAGCATGCAGTTAATTTGCACTGTGATGACAGCTCTTAGTTATAATTTCTTTAGGCCTAACTCTGCTCGTTCCGTTTCGGAGAGGATTGTGCTTAATAGCTGGTATCCAGAAAAATTACATAAGGACACCGAGCCATTTCATAAAACCATGTATTTCTGTAGTCTAATCTCTTGGGGAGTTTTTCAGAAAATAATTAAGAGGGTGAATTATCCTCTTGAGACCCTTTTTATGAGGGTTAAAATGGGAAAATAGCTCAAATGTAAAGAGCCCTATTAACTGTACAGAACAGCTGTGGGACAAATGACTGTATTCTTAATTTGGTTCTGAGAAAAGTAATGAAAGTAAGTTCATTATATTGTAAACAAGAATAGATTTGCTTCTTCCCATCCAAAGATGGGAACCCCTTCAGTCAGGTTGGTTTCAGTTCTACAAGCAAGCAAAATTGTTACCCTATCATTACCTATGTGAAGGATTAAGTTCTTCCATAATACCATGGATATCTGCTCTTCTGCTTCAGGCTTTGTTACTTACTAGGGTATTTGGACAATTTTTTCCTATGCAGAGACACCAAAGTGCTCTCAAGCACTACTCAAGTCCTACTGAGACAACATCATGAATACCTTGTTCCTTTTCAAAATACTGTGTAACGTTGGGCTACTGCATTCTTCTTACTCAAGGGAAAATTCAGATTCAATTGAAAGGTTTCTGGGTGTTTTTTGTGATAAAAATCAGTCCACAATGGCTTTTTATAAAGCAGTCAAGCTCTGGGACCCAGATATGCTTTCATGTATTTAACTGTTGATTTGCTTTCGTGAAGCTGTGTGGAAGAGCCCACTTCTACCACTGATGCCCCTTGCTTTCTAGAACCGAGTCATGGTTACTCGTAGTTACACAAGAAAATAATAGTTAGCAACCACTTGAATATGTTTTATACTTACTTATGAGCAAGTTTAGATATTTCTCTAATAACCTTTCTCCAGCTGTTTTTATTTGCCAGTATTTTTTGTCCCTTGCAGAAAAGTAGAAAAATGTATTTTTAAAGGCTTTCTCTCCTTAAATGCATTACAGATATTTATTTAGGGAGTTTGATGTTTTCAAGGTGGATTAGTTCCTTGTCATCCTTGAAACAATTAGGAAAGATAATCCAGCTCCAATCTGAAGCTTCTAAAAAACTCAGTTTTACACATCTGCACTGTTAACCATTGCAAATAACTATCGCTATTAACCTTAAAACTAATAGCTACGTAAGAGCATTCAGTTTTAAACTGAGTTAAAGTTTTTTTATGTTGAGTTTCATTACATTATCTTAGTGCTGTTTTGCATAAGACACAGTCTGGAATAACCCTCTTGTGTAGCCTTTAACAGTAAATTGCAAAAAGCTTTTTCTTTTAGGTTGTTTCCCTTACAGTTTGACCAGAGATGTGTCTATCATCAGTCTTGTTTCCCTTGACTCTTATTTCCACTGAACGGTTTGAGTACTTTCAGTTAAGTCTGTTAGCCTTAGAAGTTAAGAAGCTGACAGAAGAGAGTGAATTGGACTACTGTTAAGCCATTAGATTAAAAAAGATTTGGGCAGTCCTTGGAAAAAACTCTTGCTAATCTCTAAACAGTGAGCCTTTGAGAAATCATGAACAGCGCAAGCTTCCACTTTTTCTTTAAAAGGCATTTACTCTTACATAAACTGGAATATTGTTAACCAAGTGGAGTGCAAGGTGCTGAAAAGTTGCTGGTACTATTTTTCTTTCCATGTAAGCAGTCTCTAGTGTCTGATTCTAGATGTCCGCTTCTCATTGTGACTATTCCTTTTTGTGCTAATGATTATATTAATGCTGTAGTGAATAAAACTGCAGGGTTTTGTGTATTCAGGGTTGCACTTTTTAAATAATGATGCTATAGTTATGCAAATCTGTGTGCTCAATGTTCTAATTATTCTACAGTTACTGCTTCTGTGCTCAGTTGTCAGCCTGCTGCCAGCAGGAGATACTATGGGAGATTCTGAATCCTGAAAGCAAGCTGTAAATCCCTGTTGAGTTTACATGGTCTAGTGTCCTGCTTTAAATAGTCTCCTTTTTTTGCAGAGATTGAATCATTAGAGGGAAATTGTACACAGGGGATTCTCTCCCTGTTTTCTGTGAAATAGTTTCATGCTGTGTAGTGTTGTTTGGTTTTTTTTCCATTAGGAAGCTCTTTTTTCAAACATCTATTTTAATGTAATAGTTTTATAGTGAAAAAAAATTCTTCTATCTTTTTTTTCAGGATACTCTTTTTCTAGCTTTTCCTGTCTTGTCTTTTCCAGCCAATATGCTTTGTTTCATTTTGGTTTTCTAAGCTGGGAGAGACCAACGAATATTAGAATTTGTTCAAGCAAAGATGAGAAAAATGAGTGGATTTTTGTCTTTCTTCATTTCCAGTCCCTAGTTTTTCTCCCTATAGATATTTTCTTTATTTGAAAGGGATCAAGTTTAGAGGAAAGAAAGAATCCAAAACCATATGCTAACAAACTTGTCTTTGGTGCAGTTCTAGGAACTCTTCATCCAGGAATGTTAGCAGTGATTCCCTGCCAGGAAAATACCTCTAGATTCAACAGGCACACTCAGAGGATGTTTTTTTCTGCTACAGTGTTCTTCCTTCAAGTTCAGGAGGATAATATCTTTCAAAAGACAGGAAAAAATGATGGAAAGAAGTGTTGACCCAAATTCTGTGTTTGCCAAGATTTACCTTGGTTACTCTAATACAGACTCTGGTGCTTTTTATTTTTGTGAACGTGTATTTCATTCCACCACTGAAAATATTACTGATAATACTGGTAGATGAGATAGAAATACTACTTTTTATTCTCAGCTGATGATTTGTTTTTTCAAAGAAGGGACAATAAATGATGTATTCAGTGTAGCTACCAGGGAAAATCAGGATCTCTTGTAAAACTAGAAGTCAAAACCCAGCAGCTGTCTTCAGTGTTCAGGCAGTGACAGTTACTGAATTAGTTTTCTAAACCATTTAGCTATATTGTAATTGATATAAGTGAACCACTAGAAAGTAAAATCCTGCTCAATCTGTAAAACTATCATCTGTAAACCCAAACACAGGACTACCTTAAGTATTGGAGGGCTGGACAAAACTGCTAAACTGAGAAAAGCAAGATCAAGTTTGGAACTTGCATGAGTTCCAAAACTCTTCATGTTTCTGATGTTTGAAAAGCTGGTTAGTAATGCATGCTAAAACCACACCTTTAAGATTCTGTCATCTTAGTAAATTAATGTTACAGTTATTATTTTTAATTCTTTTCTTGTTGCATCTTTTCTTTTTCTCTCTCACACTGTTCCTATCCCAATTTTTCCCCATCTTTTCCTATCTTCTTTCTCCCTTTAGCACCCTGAAGCTTTACTGAGCCATCCATCCAAGGCAGTAAGTTC